CCAGCAGCTGTTAAATAATAATTGATAATTGATATGATCAATGACCATTGAATCACTTAAACTAATGTCTCTGCTGTTCACGAATCAATAATACAAGTTAATTCTTCAATTAATCAACAGGGACATGACCATTTATTAATTGTCGATAAAATTAATCCTGAGATTGATTTTAATTCCAGTTGAATCGACAACAGTACAACAAGCAGGTGATCGTCGCTGTCCTCCAGGAAAATTCACATGCAGGACAGACAGGATTTGTGTACATGACTCATCTCGTTGCAATGGAATTCCCGAGTGCAGAGATGGATCTGATGAAGAAGGATGTGGTAATTATAATTATCTCATTATGTCATTAATCTACTCATGCTATTGATAAATCGTCTGTATCTTTAGTCGATTAATGTTTGATTTCGTTATTTTCAGACACTAATGAGACTGATGGCCTCAAGCTAACGACGTATCCGAGCGAGCAGATAATCAAAGAAAGTAAGAGATAATTATCACTCATCAATTAATTTTATTCAAATTTATAAAGATTACTAAAGATCGATATAGGACACGCAGTCGTGAAAGTTTGAATTCTGTACCGAAATGGTAAAGGGGAGCAAGTGGATTTACAAAAAAGATAGTTTGTCCCAAAATTTCTCTGTAGCGGAGAGAAGTAGCGAAATTTTTGTGATTACCCTTTTTGTAGCTCTTATTGCGTTTTACTAAAAAAGATAGCACGAAAAATTCGGCTATCTCTCTTGAAGTCAGAAAACTTTAAAGAAAACTATCTAATGTATAAATCGACTTATTACACTTTATGATTTCATTACTGAGTTTAATCCCCAAATCTTATGAAATAATTAATGAAAACTTTTATTGTTTCTCTGTTTTTTTGGCTCCACCAGCCTCAGTGAGACAAGGTAAGGTTTTGAAAATTGACAAAGTGCATAATCATTTCTGTTTAAATTCATGGGAATCAAAAATCATCAGGATTAATAAAAAATACCATTTAATTACTATATTCACGGTGTCATATTTGTGTTTATTTGCAGCTGTGACTTGATTTTTTCGATAATATGTTTTAACCGAATAATTACTGATTTCTCATAATGAGAGTGCAAAGAAACAAGTTATTCTTGCTAATAAATTAGCAATATGCTTGCGAATGGTCGTTTGCAATGGTTTCAAAATTTTTATAAAATTTTATTGAAGTACTTTGTTCACCTACAATGGAATAAATTGAGCGCATAATAGATACAAAAAGACGGACGACGGAAAATTAGGAAGCTGACTTTTAAAAAAGCAGCATCGAAACTATAATTTTAAATCCTAATCATATTCAATTGAAGTAGAATATCCCGGCGCAGTCTCACAATTTAAATATTTCCAAAATACGAATTTGGCTCTTCTTTCTTACACTTTGATTCACCCATCATTTCTATTATTTCCATATTCCAACTTGCTCACCAAGGCATCATACCACATTTTTTAAGCCATGATGGACCTATTTCATATCATTTGTCGTCCAATGATCGTGAAAAGGCTATTTTTCGAAAAACCTCGAAAATTGAAAAAAAATTAATTAATTAATTAATTAATTGCATTCCAATTGATATCGACGACTAGAGTTTACCAATACACGAGAAAAAACTGCTTTAACTTCACGAATACAGTCCACTGACGCACACATGGACACCATTAAAAAATTGCATTTGTGGACTTCTTCAATCATATTGAATGAATCACATATATATATATCAAATGTGCCATATATAACTTGAATTTGATCGATTACAACGCTTGCATTCGAAAGGAAAAAAAAAGGGAAAAGGGGCATAAAAATCATGAGTCATTTTCGAGTCGCAACCTCAAGATCTCTGAAGACTCGAGTATGATCTCAGACCAGTGCATGTTCACCGATCTTCACTGCCCCCCCTAACATAAAACTTTCCTCCAGGTCGTGAAGTGGTATTCCAATGTCGTGACGAGGGTCCCCTTCGAGCACCCGTTCGTTGGACTCGTGGCAACAGTCTGCCTCTGCCTCCAGGCTCTCGAGACATAAACGGTCGCCTAGAAATTCCAAATATTCAAATGGAGCACGCAGGGATCTACATGTGCGAAGCCATAGGCTTTCCTCCATCGACCCCAAATCGAGTTATAACGGTTCACCTACAAGTGGAGAAGTTCGAACCACCAGCAACACGCCCTCCTCAAGTTTGCAAATACAACGAGGCAACTTGCAGCAACGGCGATTGCATTCCCAAATCATTGGTTTGTGATAATAAATTTGACTGCACCGATGGCTCCGATGAGATGCGCTGCAATCCCCATGGGTGCGAGCCAAATCAATACCGTTGTAAAAGCAAAGAGTGCGTTTTGAAGATCTGGAGATGCGATGGAGATAAAGATTGCACTGATGGCAGTGACGAGGAGAACTGTGGAACCCCCTCACCAGGATCAGTCTGCAGGTCGGATGAATTTCAATGTCACAAGTACGATCAGTGCATTCCAAAGAGTTATCACTGCGACATGGAGAGAGACTGTCAGGATGGCAGTGATGAGATCGGTTGCTCACCAGTTTATATTGTCAAACCCCCACAACCAATGATTGTTTTGTCTCCTGGTGACACAATGATCCTCTCTTGCACAGCCATTGGTGTACCAACACCTGAGATCAATTGGAGATTAAACTGGGGACATATACCTGAAAAATGTTACTCGACATCTACCAATGGCACTGGTACACTCACCTGTCCTGACATCAGCATCTCTGATCAGGGGGCATATTCTTGTGAAGCTATCAATACTGCTGGCTTTGTATTTGCTATTCCTGACTGTATTCTCATTGTCAAGGACAGACCAACTGTTTGTCCAAGAGGAACATTCAACTCCCAAGCCAGAACACCTCAGGATTGCATTCCTTGCTTCTGCTTTGGAGTTGTTGATGAGTGCAGAAGTGCCAATCTATTTACTTATCAGATTCCACCGCCCTTTGACAGACACAGAGCTCTGACTTTTGATGTCGAAGCGTTGAGGATTACTGGGGAGTTGGGAAGCCAGATTGCGGAAATCAGACCACAAGGAAGGGATGGAGTTGAAATTAGTATTCAACATTTTGAGAGTGTTGGGACAAATTTAAGATCAGGGTATGAAGTACCTTATTTCGCTCTCCCTGAAGCATATCTCGGACCCCAGCTCTTGTCTTATGGAGGATATCTCAGGTACAATGTGAGGTACAGTGGAAATGGAAGGGATAATAGTGCTCCCAGTGTCATTATGACAGGAAACAATAGAACTCTCATTCATCGGGGGAGGAACATTCAGCCGGATAAGGAGAGTGAGGAATCTGTCAGGTTCTTCTATGGCGATTGGCACCGGATGGAACGTGGCAGGGAAATTCCAGCCAGCCGGGAGGATATTATGATGGTTCTTTCCCATATCGATAATATTCTCATCAAGTAAGTCTAAATTTGAAATTCAAAAAAGTAAGTCTACTCAAGTATTTTACAGGAATCGGCAATAATATCAGAAGTAATGTATGAATCGTGCCAAGTCAATAAAAAATGAAAACGTGAGAAACAGACAAGTTCTCATTTGATAACTATTTTATTTATTAATTGATTGCTGATTATTAATTGGAAGAATATTATCCATTTTTAATAAAAATACTTTCTAATTAAATCATTGAATTACTTAACTTCACCGATTACTCATGCCAAATTTATTATTCTAAAAAGAATATTATTTGCGGATCTCGCCGAGTCCTGGTTTTCAGTAGTTCTCTCTTTATCGTTCACTGATGAAAATAGGTTTTCACTGCAATCGTTCTGTTGGAAAATTTCTAGAGCCAAATACGAGTCCAGTCCTCAGTTGGATGTATCTATCACTGATATTGCAATGGACTCCGCTCACGACACAGGATCTGAAATTGCATCCTTCGTGGAAGAGTGTTCTTGCCCATCGGGATACTCTGGACATTCCTGTCAAAGCTGTGCACCAGGTTTCCTGAGGCGATCCGGAGGCCTCTGGCTTGGAGAATGCTACAGGGATGAGCCATCATGTCCACCTGGATACTATGGAGATCCATCGCGGAATATTGAATGCAAACTCTGTCCCTGTCCTTTGACTAATCCAGCAAATCAGTAAGTTTTCACATCAGAATTTTTCAAATATTCTGTAATAATCAGTCTGGTATTCAGTTAAGTCATCCGAAAATAACTCCTCAAAATCCGCATGTGGCTAATCATCCCAGATAATCTCATCTTATTTTTTGAACGGAGAAAGTTTCAATTTAATCATTAAATTGTTAATGAATTCCATACTATTTTGTAGATTCACGAGAACTTGTCGTCTTGGTCCCAATATGCGACCAATTTGCGAATGTCCAGCTGGATACGATGGTGAACGATGTGAGAAATGTGCAGACGGATACCACGGAAATCCTCTCATACCTGGAGATATGTGTGTCCTGGATTCGGTATGTGACCCCCGAGGAAGTCTCTCAGCCACAGCTGATGTTAGTGGAAAGTGCAGGTGCAAGGTGAATATTCAAATGATTATTCAGTCAATTTTCCGCAATGGATTATTCATTATTATCAATGCAATTATTTGTGTCATATTATAATGCAATCATTTGGAACATTCGTTAATCATTTGGGGACGAAAACGTAAGTAAAAAGTACAACGAGATTGAGAAAACAGCATTGTAAGTTGTGTTTATTGATGTTTCAGCAATCTGCAACTGGATTAACTTGTGATCAATGCAAGCCCAATACCTTTAATCTGGCGGTCAGCAATCAATTCGGATGCATCAGCTGTTTCTGCATGGGTATCACCAACCGATGTTCCGAATCGAACTGGTACAGGAATGAGGTAATTGCTGGAAAAATTTTCATGTTTAATCACTTCGAAAGTTTTGATATCGAAAGATGAATACGGATACGAAATTAATTGCTTATTTAACCAAATGAATTGTTTATTGATCAGCAAATTTCATTTCAGAGAAAAGATCTGTCTCTCCCTCTTCTCTAAAAGTCATATGTCAAATTCCTGGGCTAATGATAATGAATTTTTTTTGAGGTCCCCGAGGACTCATCTAAGATCTTTTGGAGAGGAGAGTTACTTTTTTCCAAACTAAAATTGAAGACGATAATAACACTCTTAGATCCTAAAAGAATAAGAAAACAATTTTTTTTTGAAAAACAAAATTTCATCATAAGCCCAGGAGCCATTCTACGATTTTAGAAGAGAAAACGGATTTAATGCATGAATATAAACTCCACTTTATTTTGTTATTCAGATTCACGTATCCTTCACTAATTCCATCCGCGACTTTTCTCTGATCGAGTCCCTGCTGCCAGACGCACCTCAAATCTCCACAGGAATTCATTTGGATCCGACCCGCCGAGAAATCATCTACTCAGACTTCCAGAATCGTGGAAACGGCGACGTTTACTACTGGCAATTGCCCTCGATCTTTCTGGGTGATCGAGTGACATCCTACGGGGGCAACCTACGCTACACAGTGCGCTACGTGCCATCCCCAGGCGGTCAAAGCTCAAGGAACAACGCAGCAGACGTGGTGCTAGTGTCATTCAATGACATCAACCTTCTGTATTACTCTCGAGAATCACCAGAGCCCAACTCTAATCAATCCTTCTCCGTTCCCCTGCTCGAGCAATTTTGGCAGAGGACTGATGGCACACAAGCAGACAGGGAGCACCTGCTGATGGCCTTAGCCGACATCAAAGCCATAAAAATCAAGGCAACGTACACAACTCATACGAGTGAAGCAGCTCTGTCACACGTGTCACTGGATAGTGCTGAAAAATACAACACTGGCAAAGCAAAAGCCGTCGAGGTTGAGGAATGCAACTGCCCCCGTAACTACACTGGACTCTCTTGTGAGGATTGTGCACCAGGATATACTCGAGCCGACGAGGCACTCTACCTGGGAATCTGCAAGCTCTGTGAGTGCAATGGACACTCAACCCAGTGTGATCCTGAGACTGGAGTCTGCGAAAACTGTGGAAACCACACAACTGGTGAGAATTGCAACCAATGTGAGCCTGGTTACATTGGAGATCCAACGAGGGAAGGCTGCAGGTACGGTGGACAACCCACTCAAAGCTGCAATTGCAATCCTGCCGGTTCTGTCTCCAATCAATGTATCAACGGTCGTTGCGAGTGCAAATTAAACGTCGAAGGAGCTAATTGCAACAGGTGTCGTCCTGCCACCTTTGGTTTGACAGAAGACAATCCCAATGGGTGTAATCAGTGTTTCTGCAGTGGTGTCACTGATCAGTGTCACGAGAGCTCACTCTATATTCAGCAAATTCCCTCCTGGGTTTATGATACCAAACATGGATTTATCCTCACAGATGCTTCTAGACGAGACATTATCGATGATGGATTTGATATCAATGTTGCTATGAATGAGATTGGTTATCAGTACAATCGTGCAACGAGGAACAGAAGATTATTCTGGAGTCTACCTGCCACATTCACAGGAAATAAGATAAAGAGTTATGGTGGCAATTTGACTTTGACACAGAGATTCAGAGCTGAGGCAGGCGCTCAGAGCATTGTCGATCAGGATGTAATGCTTCTGGGTAATGGAATATCACTGTTTTGGACTAATTCGAGGAGTTTGTATCCTGACAATCATATCACGTATTCAGTACCACTGAGGGAGTCAGAGTGGAGGAGATTATCTCCTGAAGGTCCTAGGAGACCATCTAGGACGGATATGATGACTGTTCTATCGAATCTAGAAGCTATTCTTGTTCGAGCAACTTACAGTGAAGGAATGATCAGTACTTACATCAGTGATATTAGCCTTGATACAGCAGTCGAACATTTCACTGGAAAGAACAGGGCAACGCAGATCGAAAGCTGTCGTTGTCCACTTGGATATATTGGAACGTCCTGTGAATCGTGCTCACGTGGATATTATCGTGATTTCACTGATAGATCTGTCAGTGTTCTCGGTGCCTGCAATGCCTGTCCTTGTAATGATCACGAAGAGAGCTGTGAAATGAGTAGAGGTGGACAGATCAAGTGTCATTGCCTCTCTGGATACACCGGTTATTTTTGCCAGGATATTGGTGAGCATTTCTTGGGTATTCAAAACTTTGAGTACAAATCTGTTGTTAATTAGTAAACTGAGATAAATGGGTTTGACTGAGCCTGAATTAATATCTTAGAAATGAAAAAAGATAGCGAAATTTTTATATGAACTTTTTTTTATCGTTCACATTTCATTTTACTATTATATATTTTTATATTTTTATATTTTCATATTATATTATTCTATTATTATATTATTTTATATTTTGATGGGCTTCTATCTCTTTTCATTTTCGAATTATTCGTTAATAATTATCGGTAGTTTAAATGCAGTTATCTCAAATTATTTAGTTACAACAGATTTCGGGGTTGTAGACTAACAGCTTTCGTCACGATAAATAAGTTATTTCTATTACCCAATTTGTTCGATTATGATTATTATTAATCCTTTGAATGCATTCGTCTTTGATATCTAACGAGTTCACGATCTGATAAGAATTTTTGCTTTTTCTTCATTGTGATGGTATAAAATGATGAATAATTAATTACTGTCAATAGTCATTCCAATAGAAAATGAAAAATCGATGATTAAATGATTATTTTTGATTAGGATTCGTTCTAAAAGCGTCCAACTAACTACTATAACTTTGTTCATAAACTCTTGAATTCGTAAATTGAAATAACCCCTCGTGAGAAAAATGAAGAGTCAATCTCCTCATTTTTTTCCTTAATAAAAAAACAATGAAACTGCATGGATTGAAGAATATTTTGCGTGATGGTGTAGCTGAGCTGCGGGTAGGTCTCATGCCAATGCATGCAGAAGCACCGAGGAATACGGAAATCGACATGAAGTGTTCATACAGTCATGGGCAAAAATTGTACATTTATTTTAAATTATCCTCGTATAATGGGCTCCCATTGACTACCTGGGCGATGGAAGGAGGACCGCTTGTGGAGACTGATTCTGGGGCTTATAAAATCTGGACGGTCCATGTGGGAGAGCATCCCTGTATCGTAGAGTGTACAATTCTGGATCAGCATGGGAATGAATTAGCTATGATAACGACAACAGTTTCACCAGGTTGGAGAATGATGCGTTGTCTGATCTGTCGTCGTCCATCGCTGTAGGATTCAGTGGGATTAATTGTTTTGTTGTTGATGCTTTTATTGTTTGAACCATTGATGATGCTTTAATCGTTGATGCCTCTTGGATATTCGGAATTTAATGGATATACTCGATTTACAGTTGATAATCCAGCTACAACGATGCGTCCAGATCCTACTGGCAACGAGCCCCAACCCCCGAGGATTTCTGTATCCATCCAAGAGGATAAACTCCAAATTGTTCACGTGGGAAGCACTGTGAAGTATCATTGCACTGGAAGATCATTGGATAATGTGAGTAATAGATATTTTAATCCCTCAATTTTCCATTAATCATTATATAATAATTGATGGTAATTGCTGACTCAATGATTGATTGAAGAATCAAGTTCACATTCGATGGGAAAAAGAGGGTGGCAGACTCCCAGATCGCAGTTTGGATGATTCTCATGGACTTCTCATTATTCGGGATGTCAAAGTATCAGATAGTGGTGTCTACATCTGTCAAGTTACTGATGGCATTCATATTGCTGATCAAAGAGTGACTCTTACTGTTGGAGGTGAGAAAATATAAGTGGATTCTTATCGTTAATGAATTCGCGATTTACTTCTGAATGAATTCAATTTTCTCAATGATTACTTTGATATTCTCTTTTTCTATTTTTGAGTTAATTCAGAAGTCACCACTTTGAAAACATAATTTTACCTCGAATACTCTTCTCATTTCTAAAGTAAATAAATTTATAATTATTATAAATAAATGATCAATTATTAATATTGACTAAATAACATAAATAATAATGGACGCAGCATTTCCACAAAGTCTTCTAGACATACCAGGTATCAAATGACGACAAAATGTAAAGCTTGAGAAAAAACTTTGAGAATAAAAATATCCTGATAAAATTTTCAGGTGCCAATCGATTGGAGCCACAAGTTCACATTCGTCCAGCATATCGAGAAATTCGTGAGGGCGAACCCGTGGAGTTCCACTGTGAAGCCTCAGGCAATCCTCCACCTCTTATCGAATGGGTGCGAGTGCAGGGTCAGATGAATCCAGAGGCAACATTCCACAATGGAGTCTGGAGGATTCCAGCAGTGACGAAAAATGACGCAGCAGAGTACAAGTGCATCGCCAGAAACGAACTTGGTGTAAAAGAGCAAACAACGATTCTCTACGTTTTGAAGAATCCCAACGAACCACCCCCCGACCGTTATCCTGATGTTGGACCAGTGATAACACCTCAGGAGTGGACTGGAGTGAGTGGGGATGCTATCAGAATGGTCTGCACAAGATCCAATTATCATGCTGATGTCCACTGGACAAGATCTGGAGGATTACCATTGCCTCCATCAGCCAGTCAAACTGATGGAGTCTTAACAATTACAAATCCTGGAGTAGCTGATTCAGGAACTTACATTTGCGTTGCATTAAGTTTACAAGGGACTGAAACCTCAACATCATCCAGAATTACCATTTCTCCTCGAAGAAATCCACCAATGATGAAGGTAGAGCCGGAAAAACAAACAGTCTCCCAAGGTACAATTGCTGAGCTGAAATGTCTTATCAACGACCAGAATTCTGACATCGAGGTCAAGTGGTCCAAGCATGGCGAGAGTTCTCTGGGTCCTCGGGCCCAGCAATATGGAAATACTCTCAAGATTATTCGTCCTCAAGTGTCAGACCGAGGAATTTACATTTGTCGAGCAACAAATTCCGCTGGAGTGTTCGAGGCATCTGCCATCATTGAAGTATCACCACGAGAAGTTCCTGCCCTTGATATCTACCCTCACAATATTCAACCAGTGAATCTCGGAGGATCAGCAGATCTTCAGTGTCGAGTTACTGCTGGTTTTCCAGTCCCTGAGGTCCACTGGTCTCGTCAAGACGGTCGACCATTTGGATCGAATATTGTTAGTCTTCCTGGAGGGCTTCTTCGTTTTACTAATATTACAATGAATGATGGGGGCAGTTACCAGTGTACAGCGAGTAATGCAGTTGGTTCCACATCTGCTCTGGCTCAAATTGAAGTTCAATCGATTCCAGTTATCAGGGTTAGTCCAAACACTGGTATAATTAGGGTCAGACAGAATGAGAGGGTGAAATTGGTATGCACTGCTGAAGGCCATCCTCAACCCAATGTTGCCTGGACTAAAAATACCCCGGGATATCCGAGTTACACGTCTTTCAAATCTCCTCATCGCGCCACCCCGCTGTCAGCAGTTCATGAAATTGTTGCAATGTCTCCTGATGATGAAGGTCAGTTTGTTTCTTCTAATTGCAGAAATTTCTTATCGTTGCTATTGCTTAATCTTGTTACGGTTGTTCTGCCCATAGATCGGTAAAATCAACAATTTGTATTAAGATTATTACAATAATATAAACATGACAAAGTAGTAAATGGAACAGTGAGATTAAACCAATATAAATGATAATTCACCCAAAATTAAATAATAAATACAAGACACAAATATCAGGGAAAGTCATATTAGTTATCAATAACTGGTTCTCCCTAAAGTAAAAGAAAATATTTTATGTATTAAAGGTTTATAAGAGATATAGACAGATAACAATGAATACTAATGTTCCTAGGTTCTTACACATGTCAAGCTGTCAACGCAGCCGGTGTCTCCGAAGAACGAGTTCAAGTGAGAATAGAAGACGAGGATAACAGTATTGACAATTATCCACCTTGCAGAGGTGACCAGCCCTGTAACAGAACTCCCCGTCCCTATCCAATTGAATCTCAGGAAAAAGGAAGAGGAAAAGGTGTCAGCATCCCCGAGGATTACGTGAGAATTCCCATGGGTGGTAAAGTGGAAATGAGATGTCAAGTGGTTGGTCCTGATGATTCACCCATTTACCTCGACTGGATAAGATCAGATCGTCGAGCATTACCAGCGGGTAGTACTGTTCACGAGGGAGTTCTCGTAATTCCTGACGTGCGCAGGGATGCAGCTGGAGAATATCTCTGCTTGGGTCTGGACAGGGACAATACCGAGTTATTCAGAGCCACGAGTCACCTGGAGGTCGTATCACTGCCTAGAATTGAATTGAACCCCAGTACTCAGACAGTTGCACCAGGAGAGAGTCCCTCAATAGTTTGTACAGCCACTGGTGATCAACCCTTGAGAATCCAATGGAGCTCTATTGGCAGACAATTACCCTCCAGTGTCACTGATGATAATGGAGTTCTAAGCTTCCATGGAATAACTTTCAATGATGCTGGGAAATATGTATGCAAGGCGAGTAATTCCGCTGGTACTGCTGAAGCTGTAGCCGAGGTTCTCGTCAATGCTGAGACGTACGGTGAACCTGGGATTCGAGCTATCGAGAGAAATGTTGATGCAGTTACAGGAAGCTCGATAAAATTGAGGTGTGATACCAGAGAGAGAGTCGCTATTGGTTGGATGAGAGAGGGTCAAGCACTTCCAAGAAATGCTGTCATTCAGAACAATCAGTTGCGACTGGAGAGAGTCAGACCAGAAGACAGTGGACGATACATCTGCCAAGTCACCAACAGTAGAGGAGGCGTATCCAGTGATTACGTTAATGTCCACGTCTCACGTAAGTTCATACTTATATCTTGGAGTCAATAGATTTATTGACATTTTCAACTCTTGTGGATTTCTGAATTTTTCCCATTTTTATTATTTTACCCTCTTAATTTGCTTGATTCTCTGGTTTTAATATTTATGCTGAATCTCGAGTCAGAAGAGAAAAAGGCGTAATGCGTGAAGATATTTGTGGATTTTGCATTGTAATGAGTGGAGGATTGATGAGTTGGTAATGGAAAATTTGTGAAACACCGGGTTATTATTTAGTAGTTAATTCGCTTGAGGATTGCATGCCAATGTACCATACGGTACTGTGTGCCAACGGGCTGTACCTGTGCAGAAGCAAAGAGTGCATTACACTGGATAATGTTTGTGACGGCTATGTACACTGCAGCGATGCAACTGATGAACGTTACTGCAGGATCACGCAATATCGACAGTATCTCCAACGACGACGCGGTTTGTTCTGTGATCCTTTGTGTCGTGTTTATCATCTCTGTCTTATTGTCGTCTACCACTAGTCCCTAGATCGTATTTTTTTTTAATTTTCTTTCATATAGTTATAGCATTTCTTCGTTGACTTCTATTATTGTCCAAGGATTCACGTGAAAAAGACACTATTTATTTTTTATTATTTTACATCCATGATTGGGAAATCATTATTCACCAATTTTTTTTCGATCTATCAGGTTTCTTAGTTTTTGTGTGGAAATAATATTAGACACCATTTTCATGATTATCATGATGAATTCACGTAATAATGTGTCTTTTTCATAATGTGGTGTTAGGAGTAGCATTGAAAGAGAGATTTATTGGATTTTGGGTTTGATTTTTCTAGCACCAGCCGGACCAGTCGTTCATATTGAGCCTTCTGGTGATATTGTCAATATTGGGGATACTTTCAATCTTCGATGTGTATTTTCATCGGGACAAACCGGAACTCCTACGTACAGGTGGTACAGAGCTGAGGATGGATCACTTCCTGCTACTGCTCAAGTATACGATGACAAGCTGAGGATTGTCAATGTCCAAATGACGGACAGCGGAGTCTACAAGTGTAGAGTCGATACCGCTGAGGGCAGCTTCGAACAAAATTACAATCTTATTGTTCAAGGTAAATTTACATCTTTAATCATTTTATTCATTTTAATTTCGACGCGATACCATTGACTGAAAAAACATTATCTTTATCGAATATCCATTTTCTTGACTGCAGTATTCTGATTTTCAATATCGTATTTTTCTACTCATCAAAATTCCATTATTAAGATTCGAGAATTAATTAAGCCATATTAATTCAACAAAAATTATAGAACAAATTAATTAAATTGAGAAACACCCCACCAACACTACATCAATTTAAATAAAGACATGTTCGTATTACTCTGCACCTCCTGACATTTAATTTTGTAATTCCACATTACTCGAAATTCCAATCTCAATTAATTTTTCTGCCTTTCTCCATTGTAATTGCAAATGATTGAACAATGTAAGTATTATTGATATTAAATGAAGAAAGCAAATAGAATGAGTGGAAATCTGTAACCGACACTCTTAATGGACTCTTCAGGTGGCGAAAACGACGAACCAGCTATTGAAATGAAAAGTGTTCCCTACGGATCGAGCATAGAAATGGGCTGTAAAGTTGACTTCGACGGTCCAATTACATACAAGTGGAGTAAACTTAATGGACTGCTACCAGCGGTTTTGATCCATGACGTAAGTTGTCGTCAAAATATTAAAATGCAAGTGAATAGTCAAGAGATAAATCACAATCCATGCAATTGCTGCAATTGCTACTCCATTTTTCTACAAAAATCGCTATTGCAAATAATTCATAGAATATAGATTTAAATAATAATTATTTAAAGCGACGTGTTACCGTTTTGGCTATTGAAATAATCCACTCAAATGTAAAAAAACTGTTATCTCTCTAGAAAAAAATGACATTGATAAAAGTTCGAGCGGAAGATGCTGGGACATACATCTGCACTGCGTCAAACGGGCCAGAAACTACGGAAGTTCCAACGGTTCTTGTTGTCACTGGAGTTGTCCCCAACTTTAATCAAGCACCGCTAAGTTACATTGCACTGAGGCCTTTGCACGGTTCTTACAGAAAGCATAATATCGAAGTGTCATTCAAGCCAGAGAGTGATAATGGAATTATTCTGTATAATGCTGAGTCTTCTAATGGCAGCGGAGACTTCGTCATTCTTTCTTTGAACGATGGAGTCCCAGAGTTCAGATTCGATTTGGGCTCTGGTCCAGCAATAATTAACGCTCGCAGACCCATTTCACTAGGTGAATGGCACACAATTAAATTACAACGTAATAACAAAGAGGGATTGATGCTCGTTGATGGAGAGGGCCCTTACAAACGTGCAGCTGGTGGCAGAAAACAAACGTTGGATGTCAAGGAGCCACTTTATATTGGAGGAGTGCCTGATCAGGTTGTACTGCATTCAAACACTGGAGCCAAAGGCATTGGCTTTGTTGGTTGCATCTCTAGACTCGTCATCAATGAACAGACCATTGATCTTATCGGAAATCAAACTGACAGCTTCGGGGTTACAACTTGTGAAACGTGCTTGGAAAATCCTTGTCACAATTCTGGAGTTTGCCAGGAGGCGCCTACGAAAGAAGGATATACGTGTCTGTGCAGACCAGGATATACTGGGGCACAGTGTGATTTTAATGGGCAACCATGTTACCCAGGTACTAATATAAGTCCAATTATTTTTTTCCCCTTAAAAAAGTTCAGAATAATTTTCTTGATAATTGAGCACTTTCCTGTGAAAAGCATCAGTATTTTTTTTCCATTTTCTTCCATTTTTTTTCCATTTTCTCAAACTCTTCTCAATTTTTCTAAATTCTATTATGTAGTTGATCAAAGCGAAAATTAATTCTATAGATTATGTAGTTATGTAGATAAATGAGTGAATAATTTTCTCTAGGCGCTTGTGGGCGAGGTACTTGCGTAGATACAGAGAACAGCTTCAAGTGTCACTGCCCACAGGGTACATATGGATCACGTTGTGAACACTTTGGTCACGTTGAACAACCAGCCTTCAGAAATTCCCGTTCTTTTCTCGCTTATCACGCTCCGAGCGAAAAGTCCAAGCGGTAAGTGCTAAAAATAATTCTTAACTGTCCTTTATTATTCTCTGTAGGAGTATTTATTCAAAGCATCCCTCTTATTTCAACAGTAATTACTTTATGATTCCTATGATTTGTCTTCATAAAAATCCTTCACAGTACAATTTTGGTTTACTATATGACAAATAACGCAGGAATTCCAAAGATTATCGGTTTCACTGATAGCTACAGATTGCAGTGCAAAAATAAACAACTGAGCCCATTTGAATTCGATTTAATAAATTTCAAATAATTTACAGAGCACACGTGAGAAGTACCAAACAAACAAAACGATCTCACGATGGATACTTGGCGAAGCTTAAAAAATCAAGATTATTACATCCCAAAAAGCACCCAAAACACCACCCAAAACCCTAGAGTTCTTTAATTGAAACGAATTAAAAAGAAAGGAAAAAGAGAATTCTATTCAATTCCCTTTATATTTTGTACTGCTAACAAGAGTTTAAAATCGGAATGAATTTCCGCGCGTGGTGCTGAACTTGATAAGAAAATGCAAATTTATTTTATAGTTTTTACTGTACAGCTTTCCAATTGAAAAAGAAAATCAATTTTTTAACTCAGCTTTCTAAGTCAATATCGATATATCAATTAATAGATCAAATTGAATTTATGAAATTTCGGATAAAACGTTAGAATGACGTTTAGTCACTGCCGTTTTGCATTTAACCACCAGTGTAGTTCTTCCGTGGCACGAAGGCTTAAAATAATTATTCATTATGACAAACTATTGTAACGCTCAGCTTTAAGAAAAATGTGTTCGCGTAGTCTGTGTATGTGTCATATTTACTTGATTCAGATAGACAGATATTAACAAACATGATGTTAGTACAGATAGGCATATTATATTTACTGCGCCGAATAAAAATTTATATGACAATTTTATTGCTTCAATTTATGTTTTATTTCATTTATTTATTTTCCTCCATTGTGATTTTTTATTTTTTCATCACGCTCTCGAATCGTAAGTAATTATTATTTCATTGATTTTATCGTATTCTCCACTCGTAAGTAATTATTCATTCATTATTTAATTATTTAATTTTGTGTCGATTTATTTGGTCGCTTCAATTCATTCAACTCTGCGAATATAAGGGAGATAACGAAAATTTCCGTGGATACCTTTTTTCTAGGACTTATTCCGCTCTACAAAAAAGGCTCCTGTGAAAATTTTGCGGTCTCAGTTTGATTCAGCATTGTGCTCTTTCAACTTGTAGCTCTTGAAGTGTGTTATCACTAATTATATGTGCAATTATTCAGATTGACGCTCTCCATGAATTTCAATCCATCGGACAATGGGGACGAACTACTTGTGTATTGCTCAGAGACTGATGAAGGTGTTGGCGATTTTATAGCTGTTGTTATAAAAGATCGACATGTTGAGTTGCGCTTTGATGTGGGAAGTGGAATGGTTGTGGTGAGATCTAATTATATTATTCAGCCGGGATCTTGGACAAGGATTGAGATCCATCGGGATTTGAAAGATGGAAAGCTGTCGGTCAATGGTGAAGTAATTATTGAAGGAAAATCCACTGGGACTGCTAGACTTATGTCATTGAATACACCTTTGTATATTGGAGGTGTCAACAGAACTAGAATCCGAATAAATAAACATGTTGATGTGACAAGACACTTCCACGGTTGCATCAATCAGGTAAATAATTACTTAGCTGTGAAATCAGATAAGTAGAATCGAAGTCAAAAATCAGATTTTTCTAATTACATCAATCAATACTATAATCTGTATTCATTTCTTTTGATCTTCAAATTGATTGAGCAGTAACTAAAAGATTATTTTTATGAGAAACATTATTAAATGTAGAGAATTTCTTCATTGTAAATTAATTGTTTTCCAGATAATTTAATGATTATGGAAAATTATCAATAATGATACTTGATGAGTCGATATTGGAATGAATATTTGATACCTAAATAAAATACATTAATCTCGTCTTACCACTTGGTGAATTTGTATCTTTTTAAACAGTTGGAGATATCTGGAAAGTTACACTTGTTGAACTCCACAATTGATTCAGCAAATATCGAAAACTGTGAAATATCAGCAATACCATGGAATCACAGCAGTTCGCCTTTTCCAATTGTTCCTGTATTTCGCCACGAAACCCCTCTGACACCTGTTATTTATCAGATGACATCTGTAACTCCACCTCCTTACAATCCCTGCGACGAGGAGCCGTGCAAACACGGAGCTTGCCAAATTTCCAATAGCTACGACGGTTACTCTTGCATTTGTGAATATGGATATGTGGGAATTAATTGTGAAAATGTACTCAGGCAGTGCGAAATGCTGAAGCCTTGCAAGAATGGAGGGACTTGCTTAGAAATGCATGGAACATATAAATGTGACTGTCCACTTCGATTCAGTGGGACAAATTGTGAAAAACGTACGTCAAGAATTATCGATGGATTTTTCATTCCCTCTGAACATGAAGAAAATAAAACTTGACTACACGATCTTTGGGTTGAATTTTATCTGGCGAGTGCTGTTTAAATTATTCCTAAATCAAATTAACCATTCATTAATAATCCATAATTTAGTAAGCAATCAGATAAAGGAAAAGTATAAAGTTGACAGTTGATGACAATATGGAATAAAAATGGACTGTCCAATGTCGGTGGTAAACTGTGTAATTTTAATGAATTTTCTGTAAACTTATCAGATCACTTTGAATCAAGATCTCCATCTACCACCCGTCAACAATTCCCTCTTTCTTATCACTATTGTTTATAACTATTGTAATAGTGTCCACAACACAATTTAAAAGCCAAATTCATAAATATTTCATACTGACAAGATAAAATTCAAATCAAAGATCACGTTCGATAGACAGTACATGTGGGCCTGACTATATTGTTTTTTTTAAATATCATATTAATAAATGCTCATTAATATTTTTTGCAGAGGTAAAAATTGCTTATGATGTTGCATTCAGAGGGGATGGCTGGCTAGAGCTTGAGCGTACGGTGATGACTCATGAGGAAGATCGTGAATTAATGGGATTTGAAATATCCACTAACAAAACTAACGGTCTGATAATGTGGCATGGACAACCGCCTGATGACTTGAACCCTGACGATTACATTGCACTTGGAATTATTGATGGGTAAAAAATATCTTCTTCATTTAAAAAAACACGTAGTGCTTCCCGATTTCGCCTTTCTTTACCATTCAATTCAATAGTTCATTTGGACCAATAAAAATGCGGAAGAGCTCTTGATTCTTTCCTCTTGATTCTTGAATCCATTTAAATGAAAAAGAGAAGATATCATAAGTCAATAAATATATTTTATTGCTCAATTGACGAATCGTCATCTGATTCATGTTTTTATTTTTTCGAGATGCGATAAAACAAAGTAAGAAGACTTAAAACAGTTCATAATTCATAACAAATGTTGAATGAATTTTCTAGCACCCGAAAAAAACTTCGACCCTTGGATTTTTTTTCGTAAAGACCTGCGATTTTTCACAAACACCTTCCCCAGAAATAATACAATAAATTATGGTATTGCCGATGGCTCCTCCATATTGGTGAATACAATGGACTAAATTTCTACATAAATTTCAGTTACATAGAGTATCAGTACAATTTGGGGTCAGGTCCAGCTGTAATCCGTGTAACAACGCAACGTGTCGACGACGGCGAACGACACAGGATAATCCTAAAGCGACAGGGAACTGATGGCAGCATTGAATTAAACGGTGAACACACCGAAAGTGGTGTTAGCGATGGAATACAGAGGATACTTAATGCACGTGGCAACGTATACCTCGGTGGTGTGCCGGATTATGCCATGACGTATGGCAGATACTACAGCGGTTTCTCAGGGTGTATTTATACACTCGAAGTTCAGGACTCAGGTGCTATTGATATTGGAGAGATGGCTGTTAGAGGAAAGAATGTCTTTCCCTGTACGAGGTAAGTAGTAAGTCCAATAGAAGACTTATCTTATCTCATTTCTCCTTGACATCTCCTTACCCGCTCCAAAAAAAATCCATAAGTAAATGATCCATGTCCATAGCGCTCACCTTTCTCTCTGTTTTCCGATTAATTCCTCAAAACTGTGGACAAATTCAGCAGAAGTTAGATAAGGTATAGATAATTACCTCTTTCTGGAGTGTTTTAGAGATTCATTCACTTGGGAGAAGTGTATATTTTCATATAAATGTTATTTTTTTTAAGTAATCTCGATTAGGTGTTAATGATGATAATCATATCCCCCTAGGGATAGCTATGTCGGTTATCACCGTGAATAAAACCGAGCAATAATGATCAATAGTAAAGAATTCCGTCAATCTCTTATTCTACGAAAATTCGGTCCTTGAAGAAAACGAATGATAAAATGAATAACATAACTATACGCTACCTAAAATACAGAAATCTAAAGCAGTAAGATGATAATCGTCAGAACCTAGACGTAATTGCTTGATAATTACTCAATTGGAGAAATTCAGTTAAAAAAGTACAAATTTCTCTCAAGTCAATGGGTCCCTGGGAGAAATAATGAGCTTTTCAGTGAAAGTTTTAATCCAGTTGTAAGTGTAATCTGGAGAACCGTTTTTTCTGTAATGGAAGAAGTATTGTGTTTTCAATTGTATTTCATGCTGCATCCAGAGTGAGATGGAATCCCTCTTCTCTGGTATTCACAGACGGGGATATGGATGGGTTCGATGCCTTCATACCGCCCCCGCCAGTCAACATAATCCATCCAAAACCAACTGTTAATATAGCCTCCTACAACCCTACAAATTTATACATCCCCATTATCATTCCGTTGACGTGCGTAATTATCAACGCAGCAGCGACAATTACACTAGGAAATTGTTTTTAAAATTGGTTGATCTATGCATATATATTCTATGGTTTCGTTGATTATTTCAGAATTTGAAGTGAAGAACTAGATATTCAATGCTTACCTAAATATCCTTGAGAATTCATATCCAAATGTAATGAAGAGTGAGATGTGATTATGGAGCTAGAGCAGCTTTAGTTTTGTGAGAATTCTCTTTTTTAATTTAACATTTTTTTTTCCATGGAGGGATATAAAAATGTAATTAAAAATGATGTACATGGTGGCGCGTATTTAGGGTGTAATATGTCTTGGGGGAGTGACTTTTTTAAATGAAAAAAGTGATAACGTTTATATCGAGGAGATCTTCCAACGCGGGGCTGACGGATCATGTGGCATTGAAGGGATTCGCTTTTAACTCTATACCCGCGCTTCAAAATTATCAAATGGATTCATCTATCCTATGTGCATATCGTACATTATAGAAAAATATAAGAGTGATGAAGAGTTCTGTGGTCGGAGGGGAAACAGGTAAATGATAATGTAAAATTTGCGAAATGAAAAATTAATGGACCACTGGAGATTTCTCCAGGAACTATTGAATATGTTGAATGATAGTTTTTCCTCTCCACAGAATTTGCGACTGTCAAAAATTTGCAAATTCAATTTTACACTGAGAAAAAATAGCTTAAAATCATACAAGTATTTTTACAAATATTTAGAGACGATTGAACAAATTATTTAAGCCGTGGATAACAGATTTTTCATTCCAATAGAACGAAAATTGTGGATTACAAGATATATATTTTCGTTTTACGAGTTTCGATGAGTTTTCATCAGTGTAAAAATGAATAGGAGGAATGCCTACGCTAATTACCCACTTTTATACAAACATTTAAAGTTATGTAGACGCCTACAACTCGCATGGCAGCAGTTCTCTGCAATTTTTCAAAAACAATTTAAAAAATACTCAATACACATTTTTGACGCTTTACCGTACTGAAGGAAACAAAATTTTCGTATTAATTTAATTAAATTTTTTATATATTGTGTGGAAGAAAACCGGGAAGGAATGTAAAATACCTCTGATTTTACTGTTAAAACGAGAAAGTGCGGATAATAATTTATTCACTGCCAGTGTTTAATTTAAATTTACTTTTTCCTTGATAAAAAATTTTCTAGTAATTACCATTTTATAGATGAATTTAAAACCCTTTTCCATGATTTCCAGTTAAACTTAAAATACGTAATGTTAGAAACTGACTGAACGGTGCATTCATTATTAATTGATTGTTCTTTTTGAATTTATTGAGAAAAACTCTATAGTAATTGTAATCGATGCGATTAAAAAATTGAAAGTATGCAATGCAAGTGACGAATACAACAAAAAAAATAATGAAAGTGTAGCAGGTACTGTTATATATAAATTATATGAATTGAAATGACAATAAATATAGTTTTGATAAGTAATGTTTTGAATTCATTAGATACGAACATTTTTTTAATAATTTTCTATGTATTGTTTAAAATTAGGTTGAATAATTCTTCAATATGCTACAATTTTTTTACAGCCGAAAAAAGGATAATTATTCATTTTCATCACACACGGTGAAAATTCATGAATTTCCTCATGAAAATTGTAGATAAAGTGTGATCATTAGTCAAATTGATCGCTTTATTAAATAGTCTTCTTCACTAAATGAAATAAATAAAAAAGGAAAAAATGATGGATATTCATTGGCCCGATTGAATGATAACAAATTGTTTTTATGATTCGTCAAAAAACATTAATTACTGTTTTTACAAAAAAAATATTGCAGTCTCATAATAAATTAAATACGGACTTAGTAAAAATCATTACACAATGTAAATAATCACATACGAAAGAAATGATTTGGTTTATAATTATAATGTACAATTTTAAACAGTCAACGCAGGCTACGTATCGATTTTATAGCCAGGAATAAAAGGTAAGCCAGTTCCAACTTTCTTTTGGTAATTAACATAATCGTCACCGAAAAAGTTGAGTAGAGTTATCTCCTCAAGAACCACACGATCATGGAAGAATCTCCAGGATGCTATTGTATAAGCGAGAAGACAAAATGGATTTTGTAGAATCAACTGAAAGTAAATCACACAATAAAAAATTAATTTATTAATAAAAGAAATTTTTAATGAATCGAACTTTTATGCACTTTTTATATTATATTATTAATTATACCGAGTGTTTTATTGTGCTACTAGAATTTTTCGTTTTCACTAATTATTTTCACAACTTTAAATTTTATATTCAGTTGTTTGAATCATTTGTATCAATAAATTAAGTCGTCTTTTCTCGCTGTCTTCTACTCGCTACATGTATTTTTTCTGCAAATAACTGGGGTTCTGCTGAATGGTACAATATACCAAGAGTAAACATTAGATAAATCAATACATCAATAAAGATACCTGTGTTCCAATAGACCAGTAGAACCAGCCGACATAGCTGGGATGTCTGCAGAGCTTATATACCCCATGAGTAACGAGTTCGTGGTCAGCAGACTTTTCAGTCTGGACTAGATGATTAAAATTGTGCTTAGCTGTGAACATTGCTAATTTTCTCAGTGCCTCTCCACAAGCGCACATGTATAATCCAAAATACGTGATGAATGATACCTCCTTCATACCCGGCAAATACTGTCTCTCAATGAAAAATTCAAGCCAACTAGAACCTGCAGCAATTCCATATGCCACACTGTGTCTCAACACAAAGCTGTCTATGGACACTGCCTTTGGATTCGTCCAAGCAATGGCCAGGAATTCCGAGTAATGAAAGCTCGAGAGGACTGACATATACATTCCAAAGCATTTCCACGATTCTGGAGCGAATAGGGCTATTATAATTCCTATTCCGAGGGTATAACCCAGGAAAACTGACCTTACAGCCACCTGCAACAAGATGGAAAACAATATCAATAAAATGGCCGTATAGTGGAATGCGTGGTAATATGGACCTTGCTATTTTTATTTAAATTGGTGTAATAGCAATTAATAACACTGTCGAAACCTTTCTCAAATGTCAGAATGACCTCCTAAAATTATAAACGCCACGTGGAAAATAATTTGACGATTATGAGATTGAATATCAAATTGCTGGTTTTGAAAGGAATAATTTTTTCACTCGTTTAAAAGCGCAATCATCATTAGTATAAACAAAAAATAATTGGACCCTCATCAATTAATTTTAAGTTCATTCGGTGATTAAATTTATTATTAATCATTGTTCTTTACTTTAATTAGTAACTGCTAAGTCGTTAATTAATCTATTTGTGACTGTATAAGCAGACAAAAATGCTAAGAAAATAAGAATGAACCCATTTTTGTTCGATATTAATGCAGCATCCCCTATCGTTGTCTTAAAGGCCAAGGCAAGTGCCATTCTTTCGTTGATTTTGGTAAATAAACAAACTCATTAACACACCTGATAGATGAATCCTCTAAAAGCCAGCAGCACGAGTAAATTCAGAAAAACAAATTGGAACACATGAATAAACCAAATATTTCTGAATAAATCATGAAGATAACAGTCAAACTCAATTCTCAGAAGGACTTCAGGCAGTCCAGCAAGAATGGAAGCTGTGATGAAACATCCTAAACTAATTTTTCCATCTCTACACAGTGTCATTTTGATCAATTAATTATTAATCTCCGCTTTTTTTTATTTCAATTTTCCTTTCGAGGTATACTAGGTTATAATTTTGCTAACAATCACTCGCACACTTTCAATGACAGCCGAGAACTCCAGTATAATTCCATTACGACAAGACTCGGAGTATTTTAAATGCGAGTTAAATCTTTTTTTTATAATTTTGACATTTTCTGGAACAAAAAATCAATTAAATCATGCTGATGAATGTGTACGTGCTGATAACTCCAATAGACATTGCCGACGGCAGCTGGGTTCGTTCACATTTCAAAGCAGGAATCTACATCCAAGTAGCTGGTGCAGAGGGCACTAGAACGGTTTAAATCGCCCGCCATTTTCCATTCAAATTTCACCTCGCACTATTCTTATTCTTTATTACGAGAGATCATTGTAATTTTTGTCTATTACTCTAAAATACTTCAGTACATAGACGAGCTCAATTTTAATTGTTTGAAATTTCCGCGCACTCGGAGCGTTGGAAGGGGAGAGGTAATTCAAAATGGCGTCAGTATATTATTTCTCTTCGGCTTGGCGCCGCGTGTTTCCGGTGTATCTCGAGGTGTTTTGGATAGTATTCGAAGCTATTATATGTGATTCACGTAGAATTGTGAGCCGGGAGTAATTCTGAAGGTTTTGAAGTGATTTTTGTCGGAAATTAACGGGAAAATAGGAGGAAAATTGTCGATTTCGAGAGTACGCTTTATTCATGCCGCGATTAGTTGACTTCGACAACATTTTTGGCTGGTCAATAGTGATTAATGAGTCAACAACGGTTTATTTACATGTGTGTTGAATCATATTCACGGGTATTATGTGGAACTTACATAGAATTATGAACTGTGAGTAATAACAAAGGTTTTTAAATGATTGTTATGGGAAAATATGAGGAAAAATGGCGATTCTCGGATTCTTTGTCCTTTATCCTTTGTTCGTGGCACGATTAACCGATTCGGAAAACATTTTTGACTGGCCAATGGTGATTAATAATCAAAAAACGATTGATTTAAATGTGTATTGATATCACAAAGAGACTTCCCGTGTTTACTGACAATGTGTGAATAATTTTGAAGAAGTGTGTTTTCAAATAAAGGTATAAACAGTTATTGAAAACGTCTCCAAGCCATTGTTACAAGGAAAAGGGGGGGGGGGGCGGGGCATTATGGGTAAAATCGTCGATCTTTGCGGTTTGCACGGCCATTTTGGATTGTTCGACAATAACTAATAAATGCAGGACGATTCATTTAAATACTGTGAATATTATAAAAATACATGATAGTATTTATTAGCAGTGTGTGGATAGTGCCAAGGACCTGGACACCGGAATGTTTTGTTTACAATGCGTGGTGATCGAATTCCCTGTGTTCCATTGTTGCGAGCATTTTTAATACTTGGAAATCTCTTGTTGGGAATAACGTAAAGACAATCTCGAAGGATAATTTTTTCTTACAGAACATTTATAAACATTTGGTGAGAATGTGTAGCCAGCATATCAGTGTTATATATTGTTATTTAGTGTAGTGCAGTGTAGTGTAGTGCAGTGTAGTGTAGTGTAGTGTAGCGGATTCTTTTGGACATCTGGACATCTACATCTCCATCTGCATCAACATCTGCACCTCGTAGATTTCGAATAATGTATTCAGCAGAACTTCTAGCATCGGTGAGTCATTATATTCTCATTACTATTTTCATTTCTGATGCCACTCTATTAATGAAAAATTACTTTTATCGGGGATATTCAATGACTATAAATCAATGCACACATTTCGGTTAAAAATCGTTGAATATAATTTTATTTCAAGATTTACTTGGTAAACGTAATTTTTCTCGAAGTGCAAAGTATCAGGGGCCTCTGTTATTTATAGGTCCATTATTATTCATCTCTTGTGATGAATTTGCGAAATTTTCGACGAAAATTTGTCGATCGGGTGTAGAATTGGCGGTAAAAAAATGGTATACAGGAGATAGCGTCGCTTGCGGTTCGTTTATGAACTACTAAACTTCTGTATTCGCCAAGTTGTGAACATACAGTTCTGAATATATAGGATTTTATTCGCTCTAATGCATGTAGATGTATATAGGGTGGGTAGGGTAAAATAGACACTTCGGATAAAATGGCCTCTTAAGCAATTTTTTTCTCTCAACTTTTTAAATTCATAAATTTTTTTAAATCAAAATTTTTTCAAGTAAAATCCTCTAAATGAAGTACGAACAGTACATGTAATTTATTTCAATAGATCATTTGAAATTGATGTCCATATTCCCTCCTCTTGAATTGGGAAAATATGAAGTTACAATTTAATTAATCAAATTTAAAACGTCTTCAATACTTCTTTGTTATGATGATCCAATCTATGGAATGATTCAGACTTCGAAGCGTCCAAATGATTGGATTCAGGAATATTTGATGATCAAACTATTGTTTTCATTTATATCTATTCATCATTAATCGGTGAATTCTCCCCGTGAATTTTCTTTCTTTCATTTAATGAAAAACTCATCTGAAGTGATGGCAGTGTAGGCTGGTTAGTCCACCGAGACTATTCAAAATATCATTCATTCTCTCTGGTAATCAGATAATGATTACGGTCCAGCAATACGCATTGGGTATTTCCCTAATTAACGATTCAATATTCGGGAGATTGAGTGGTGAATACAGCCAATCGATCAGCTTCACTCCAAAGTACTCACCTAATTATGCTGATTGTCTCATCGCATGCTAATTCCGCTGTCACTGTAGGCTCCATTCAATTTGACGATCATTCTCGCAGAAGAATCACTATTCTTGCCAAGATATTGATGAATTTGGTAGCGAAGATGTCTACAGGGGACATGGAGATAAATATTCGCGTAAAATTCGGGAAAAATTTTGTAATTCTGTGGCAAAATGATATTCTGTGAAAAATGAAGGAACGAATATGACATTTTACGAGAGTTTTGAGCAATTTATGGGTGACGTTACAGGTAAATTATGCATCAGTCTCGTAAAAATCAGATTGAATGTTTTCATGGAATGATATTATGCTACAAAATTCCGGAACTTTACGCAATTTTTAGGGATTTCTCTCTCCGTGAAATCGATTTGGTTGATGAATTCGCGGAAAATGTATCTGAATTCGCACAATTCTCGAAGTTTCTATCGTGTTGTAATTCCAGTGAAGTGGCAGGAACTTTGCCATTAAAAATACAGAATTTCCTGGATAAATTAAATACACCTGCAAATTTCCGTTTGGCCTTTCCCTCACAACTGATTTGAAAAACAATACATTTTTGGTGAATATGTTCTGAATAAGATTTTTAATTGAAAGTAATGAAATTTATGATTCTACTGAAAAGTGATTGTAATTTGACGGTTGTTATTCAAATCACATGGGAAATTTTAATAAATTAGGGAATTCTACTGAATTTTTCATGAAATATGAAATATGGAATTTATTTCCAATCAACTGTCCCTGAACTTTCATTCTTTCCTAACATTATAAGAGGAATAACTAAAACTCTGTCAAGACATTTTTTTCGCTCTCATTCCTCTCTAGAAGTTAGATTTTGAGGAAAATTTCGTTATCTTTTTTAGATTCAGAGATATTCCTCGAATACTCGACTAAAGAACGAGTCGACTTGTAACCCTTTACCACTTGGCTGGTGGATTAAGCCCTGTGAGTTGATTAATCTCGGGTGCTTGAATATTCAGATTAAAATGGTTGAAAAAAATAGGGTGACTTGGGGGGGATGATTGAATGCCCAGAAGTCTCACAAAAGTCAGAGGTAATAGAACGACACCCGCGAGGCGTTTACGTCGGTAGAGAATTCTCTGGGGAACCATGAAGCTAACCTTGAGTAACTAACAGCCAGTAAAATCTCAACTATTCGTTATTTATTCATTTCCCGAGAGGGACAGAAGACGGATTAGATGTAATTTTCCACGTGTAATGCGACGACTGTCAAGATCGAATTCCTCTTCCTCATATATTCAATATTTTAGACCACTCTCGAATGATTCTGTCAATATCTCAATTTTCGTTGGTTCGTGAAGTAAATTTATTTAAATTTTTGCCAAGTAAATTTATTAACTACAGGAAAATTCACCTATTTCAATGGGCACTTTCCTATATGTACCTTTCGTTGCAACAAGTGAATTTAATTACCCGAGGTAAATTGATTTACCGGAATTCTCAGTGTGACGTCAGTAACTCTGTATGACAGGGATAATTCAGGAACTTTAATCAAAAATGGGAAAAAATGCGTGATGCCTAAGAAATAGCACAATTTTTTCTCAATATTATATGCAAATCTTACTCAGATTTTTTGAGTGAAATACTGGATATTTCACTCTCTGCAAAACGAAAAGAATCTGCTCAAATATGTTGAGAGAAAAATTGATGTTGACGATTATGGAAGTGACAGTATCCCAATTTTTTTTATAGAAAATTTAGACAGAGAATACGGAATGCTGTGAATAAATTCCGCAGTAGTTCCTTATTAAAATCATTCTTAACAGCCTCTTGCTCCGGAATTACAAAAAAGATACGTACTTTTTATTAAATATTTTTTCGTGTGCCTAAGTAACATTCGATTTATGGAAACACCAAAAAATTCGAATTGCGAATGAATGTGATATTGCAGCTATTTCCGCTTATTCCCAACTTCGTTCTCATAAATCATCACTTTTCATTTCCCGTAAAGTACTTTGCTTTCTCTACCTCTGCCTTTGTCGCTTGATAAAGAACAGGTTCTCATCTAGAAAAAGCAATTGAACGGTTGACAAGCTAGTGCGAAGACTGTATTGAAAAGTTGAAATCCGAAATTAATGCTAGCATAAAATTAGGCAAGCTGAGGACAAATTGTCTTCATATTCTTGTTAGTACCTTCACTCTATCAAAAATATTAATTTTTCTTTCCCAGTCACTACTCATGCCTTATATATCTTCCCCCCAGTTGTGGATGAGTTGGAAAAATGAAAAATGAAGATGAAAAAAAAAGAGTGCACCATTTTTATCCGCCTCTTTTAGCCATTGTCATCTATTAGACTCTTTTTGCTGAATTTTTCTGAAGTGAATAAAAAAATCTGCTCTAGTACTTTCAGTATACAATCAATTTTTGAATCCAAGCATTTCTTTAATCGATCCATTATTTAGAGTGAGTTGGAAAAGCATAAGGGAGTAATTTTCAATTTATAAGGTAATTTGGTGGGGTGAGAAAAATGTGAAAATTATGAGTTTCCCGGGAAAGCCAATAAGCCCTCGGAAATTAGAATACTGTAGGTCATCGCATCAGACTACTGTCTGGCCAAATATTGTCAAGATTTAATAACCTTTCCTTTCGTGCTAATCAAGATAAATTTACTGTGATATTCTATGAAAAAGAATTGAAGAATTGGATAGATCGGACATGGAATTTATTGATGAATTCAATTTATTGATTAATAAAGCTTTGCTTATGCTCCAAAGTGGAACGAAAGAGTGGATCTCAGAATCCCGGGCCGTGATGCATAATAATTGCTCGTTATGCAATAAATGAGTCGTTAATTAAATTAATTTAATTAATTCTGAAGGGTGTTCTGCTAATAATTCGCTGACGTTGGTTAAATAAATATAAGAATCTTTTGAGGTTTTCCTCTTTTCTTTAATTAGACGATGAGAAGCAGAATTCAGTGCAAAATATCAGTTACTTTTTGTAAGAAAATGTTTTCTAGTTTATTTTTTGATGAGTATTGGTTGACAAGGAAGATAGAAGAATTGATCTTTTTTCTAAATAATTTAAAAAGTTTTTTGAAAATTTCTTTTGAAGTCACAAGCAAAAAATTATTAACGTCAATCTCATAGGTTCAGTTTTCTATTTCAATTATAATCGCGTTATTTAATTTGGAATTCAATAGAAATGTGATAAGTGCAGTTTTCGATAATAATGATAAAAATCCATTGCAGCTTTTACCAATATAATGGAAAATTTTACTAGAAATTGTTTTCAGTACAAAAGCATGTAAAAGCATTTTGAAATTACTATTTCTCATCTGTTTTTCATACACCGTAATTATTCCGATCTCAGAATATAATCACAACGCCAACGAATGTCCGAGTTTCATACGTTTCTTACACATATTTTTCATACTCTATAATATATCTGAGTAAAAACGTTAATGAAAATATTCATTGATCTGAAATGCACAACAATTTTCATTTTACATGTCCGTTTTTCACTGTCTGCAAAATATCTCCATAAAGTATGTAAAATTCAGACATTTGTTTTAGTCTGTAATGAATTAATGAGTACCCTCTACAGTTTGTTGTATCATTAGCGTTAATATAATTTTAAAAAGTTGAAGTTGAAGTACGTAATTTGGGGGTATTTCGAGGGGTATCTCAATCGGAGGGCCTTGAGGATCTTGGGATTGATCGTAAGAGTCAAGGGTTATTGCGGATATTTTTGCAAATTATCACTCGAGAGGGTTACTATTGCGTGTAACCTTGGCACGTATTTCCAAGAAACAGAGTTTTTGGTGGGTGGTGTGAGGTGGGATGCGGTCGATGTGACGGCGTCAGACCTTCTGGCACCGCTCTATTCGCCGTATGGCTGAATCTGTCTACAGCATTTCAATTATTTAAAAAATAAAATATTATTCAGTTTATCATAGAGACGGTAGAGATTTTTTTTTTTATTTCTGGGGAATGCATTTGCATCGGGAGATACGGTGAAATCAGTTCTCGATATTCGGAAAATGGAATTCACGGGAACTGTATAGAGTATGTAAATAAAATTTCAATTTGTCAGATGACAGATCGGCTTGAAAAACTTCCGTCGCACTGGTTTCAAAAGGGACATGACAATATAATAGAGCTGAAAATCCAGGTTTTTTTTCAAGACTAGTTGAATTCAATGAGTTTATTGTTGATTAAAAAAATTAAATACCAGACATTTTTATTATGACGGACCATACATTCGATGAGTTTGGACATGGGGATGAAAGGCATGAGTATTAGCGAGGCTAACAAAAGTGATTATGGATTTTATTTGGACGGAATTACTATTTTTCAAAACGTCACACGTGAAATTCTACTCGTTATCATCGATAACTCTTTATCAAATCGATATGAAAGTGAAAAACTCAAATGGTACTGTATAGACCTCGTTGAGATCTTCAAAATAAGCTATGATATAATGTCTGAATATACTGGGAGGGAAGGGTTATGGGACAGGTATGATTTTAGGGATGAGTGAAGTAATGGACAGCGCTCCAAATGTTCATGCATCGAATAATAATTGTTCAACTGTCCATTAACTCATTCCTGTCCCAAAACCCTTTTATGGTACCTTAATAAATTACATGAAATGCAATAATATGCTATAATATGCCATAATAATTAGCAATAAATCGGAATTAGAATTTAGAGGGTGACATAATGATAAAAATGGAACAATTTCAATACATATCTCAAAACGCAATTAAATCCGATACAACTGATACTAGCTGAAATGCCCTAAAATGTTATTCAAGATGGTATAGAAAAATTTCTATTAATTAATAAATGGTTTATTGGTTTCAAAATATTTTTAATGTCGTTCAAATACATTAAATTTTATTGGTACAATTAGCAATGGAGGCATCTAACTGTCGCCATCAGAATTGATTGAAATAGTTAATTATGTCATTAGGTCAGAGGACAGATGTTGGATATGGAAATTGTATTATGACTGGATTTAGAGTCAAGCTGGTGGGGGTTTATGCCCCTGCCTCTGGTGCTCTCGGTACTAATACTGTTTACATCCCTTTGGGTATCGGATGAACAATTCAAATAACCCCACATTATTCATTACAATTAACGTAACAAAACGACTATTTATTAATTTTCCTCCCCTCTTGATATGTAAAACTATTTCAATTTGTTTTATTTACAGCCAAGTGTGCGAAACTAGAAAAATCAGATTATTTTTGAGAGGTCAAGGGATTTTCTTGATGCTTTTGCATTTTTCGATGCATCTCCTCCCATGGAAAATTAATGGCTTATTAAAGTGACTGTTAGTTAATTGAAATTTTATTCTACTGATTCGGGATAAATTATCCGATTATCTATTAAATTAATGAAACGGTAGGGATTATATAAAAAATAGTTACTATTTCTTTTGATTTTTCACTTTTGGGTTTTCAATAGAGACAGATAATGGTTTGATGTTTATTGTTTAATTTGTTTTTTTCTCTCAAACTGGATCTGGGTGCGGTGCCAGTAGTTGCATGCTGGACGATTTGGCAATCTGTAATTACCCAGAAAATAGAGATAACATAGTGAAATGGAGAATGAGAAAAATAGTCGGGGGCTGGGAATCAATACCCTTGTGCCCATTTATTCGTACTCACCTGTTGTTTAGATTGCTTCGGTTTCCTAGCGTAGACATTCAGTACACGACAATTACATGCCACTGACAGTGCAACTGCAAGCCCCTATTAGAGAACAGCCAATTAGTGCTATTGCGACAAATGAAGTGGAAAATAATTCAACGAAATTCTTTATTCATTTTCTCTAGATGGCAATATTGTTGCTGTGATTTCTGGATGAATTGAAATTCATGAAAAATTTCATAAAAATGACGCGCCTGTTACGTAATTTACCAGTCAAAACAGCATTCAGCAGAAATTATGGAATAGTTACCCACTTTTTCACTGAACATTCAGGAAATACGGAATGTTTACTGAATTTGAAAATAAAAATTTTTTACTGAATACTGTTTTTACTGGCAGATTACGGAACAGGCACGTAATTTTTATGAAATTTTTCTCTCTGCGTGGTAGAACGGTTTAAGTCGAAAAAAGTAATCTTAATAGAAGAGCCAAAGAACTGATTGTCATTCCTCTGTTGTGAATTTAAATTAGTTAATCAATGGTTTTTATTTGATTTTGGGTGAGTTGTTCATACTAATAGCTTCAGTTTTTTTTGCAGCAACTCATCACGTAAAATTGTGTTTTACTCTCTTGTTGTTTATAGTTAGCAGAGCTATTTCGACTTTTACCTCTTTGAAATTATTATTATTTGGTTTATGTTGAGGGAGTTCGTTTAAAAGTGGAGTGGCAACGTCACTCATTCTGTTTTATTACAAAACGCATTTAATATTTTTCAGGACTTGAATCTTAACTGTGAGAGATGCATTATACTCTTTAGAGTCGATGCTAAACAATTTTTTGTACAAAAATCGACTTGAACCGTTTTAGAGTTTTCCTACTAAATTTCGAAAATTAAGAAACATTGCAAAGATATCGTGTATTTTCGTAATTAGGCCACAACAATTTTAACTTAATTTTAATTGCAATAAAAATTAGAGTTACAAGATTTCAAGTTTGAGTACAGAAAAATTTTGTAGAAATATTTTCCATTTTTTCAACAACCGGACAATTCTTCAATTTTTATAAAATAATTTCTTCTCAACGGAAGTCCACATCTTTCTCACGTTAATTATTCAAAATCGTGGAAAGCTTGTGGGGAGAGGTTTTGAAATTTTAATCATGTAAAAAATAAAAACCTGTAGTGAATGTCCGGTGCAAAAGATAGCCCAGAGTACAGGCACTCGCAATACTCTTGATGCTATTCCACATCCTGCAATGAGACCTATGGTTAGGCAAATCTTGAGAAAAAGTACCAATTGTAGAGCTCGTCTTCTTTTCATCTTTTCCCTCTGCTTCACGTCCAATTGCATACTGCAAGTATATCTGAGGACAAGAAATTCCAGTGTTTCATAATAAGATCGAATAGCACACAGAGAAAAAAAGTTTAACAAACGTATTTAATCACTTATATAATTATCGAAATTCTTATCTCAATCATTTTTATGAAAATTTATTCTTATTTCGATCTATTTCAGCATGGATTATTGTTTATTTATTTATTTGTTTATCTCTGGTTTATGGAAATGGTATATTGTGCATCAAGGGCGCAAAGTCATGTTTTCCCGCCCGAGGTGTACATGCTGTTTTTCAACATGTCTGCACAAGGGTGTGTTAAACTATATACCAGTAGTTTTTACATGAACTGAGGTGATAAATATTTTTTGTGCAATTTTTCTCTCTGTGAAGTGAATGCTCCACTTTACTTTTTGATGATAATTCCTATGGAATTTCTGATTCAAGTCGAGTGTGAAAAATTGATAACGCGTTATTTGTTTACGAAAACTATTCTTTCATCTTTGATTTCTCTATTGGATCGATCGCAAGATCTTCAATCTCTCTGTCTTCCTCTCTTGGGTGATTCCGTTTTTCACAATCAAAAATGAGGAATTTTCTTATAACTCTTATTTGGTTCTTCACGCTGTTCGTACCGAGAATTTCATTACTGCCACAAGCAAAATTTCAATTTAATATCGAGATGCAATTTATTGATTACCGTGCAACAATAGCTGCTTTGAGGAGATAATAACCCGAGATAAGTAGAAGTAGAACGATCGGTAGACCGTAAGTGTAGACCGTTGCTTGAGAGCCGAGAAACCTGAAAAAAAATGGAGAAAGACAAAGATTAGATTGATAATAGTGATAGGTTGAGTATATTTGGGGGATAGATGATATTTCTCGCGGATTGACTCTTAACCCTTTGATTAATTTATAGGGAAATGTCGCTGCAATCGACAGACAATTCACTAATAAAATCATTGTCACGCAGAGAATTGATTTGTCATCTTTTGTGTCACTCTGGAATGCAATCATCTGAAAGCAGTAGAAATGGTTTAATTAATCTATTGAAATTATTTAATCGCACTCACAGTCAATTATAGACAATGATTAGAAAAAATGATAGCAGGATATTTCAGTACTCCCGTGGTAAACTTAGATAAACTATTTCAAGTTTTTAGGATTTAGAGATTATTTTGACAAAATATAACCGTTATTCATTTAAGGTTTCATTGATTAAGGATTGCTTTGGCAACAGATACCTTAAGCCCCATTAGATTTTTTTTGCAATGAAATAAACTGTTATGAAAATAATCTTGCTATTTATAGTTTAAAAAATGTTGTAATCGAAAAATTATTCAATTTCTTTGAATATTCAATGGAATTGTAATAATTTGGTTCACACTTTAAAAATTACTGAAAATAGTACAATTTCACGTCATTATTTTCGAAAATTTTGAATTTATGGTGAATTTTTATCCCCGGTTAGAATTCTTGAAATTTCAGTCACAAAATCGTTTTTAATAATGCGAGTTTAAGTGCAATATTTATATTATACTTAGATATTATACTATAGATTATACTTATTACGTTACTTATAGGCGCAAGGGATGAAGGAAAATTCGTGCAGCGTCGAAGTTGAAGGTAGAGATAAAAATCTTGTGAATATGGTTTCACAATCCGTAGTACTTAAGAAAGGGCATATTATACGCGCAAGTACTAATGATTTGGAGGTTGTCCTCAAATTTTTAATGGATTATTCATGAACCGGAAATTGTGTATGGGAGTGAATCATAGAGAGGGGGCATCGGAAAAAAAACCACCGACTTGAAATCTATGGTTGAAATTTTCGTCGGTCGCTCACGAATTTGAGATTTCAGAAGGTGGTAACTTATAGAGTAAAATAGAGTACAATTAAGTACTATTGATTGTGAAACCATGTTTACAAGATTTTTGCCCTACCTTCAACTTCGATGCTCCACGAATTTTCATCCCTTGCGTCTAAGGATGAACAAAAGGATGGACAAAAGAAACAGAACATGATACATTCAGGTACTTCATAAGTACAATCTGTTGTACTTGAAATTCTTTTTTCTTCAACTTCAATGAAAGTTTCACATAGTTGAAACGTGAGAAAAGATGAGGGCATTGACCAGTAATTTGCGGAGCGATTGATCAGTATAATTACTCAGGCATTATAACTGATAAAACGCAGAATTAATCTTAGATATGACGAGCTGGATATGATCTCGGAAGATCAATTTATTGCCAATAATGACCCCCAAATTTCTTATACTACGGACCAACTCAATAACTTCCCATCACATCCAATACTGGGAAATAGTGTAACATTCACACCATTGACAAAGCGTTTGGCTCCCAGAACCATAGCTTTGGTCTTGCTTACATTGAGTTGGAGATAATTAGCTGAGGCCCACTTTTGGGTCCTAGTGATATCTGCATTCGGACGCTGGATGCCCAAGGGAAGCTCAGATGGATCACGTGCCAAGTATATCTGGAGGTCATCAGCATAGAGCAGATGTCGAGCTTCAAGGACCAAGCTGTCGATGTTGCTGATAAAGAAGGAGAACTCCAGCATTGGCTTCGAAGTATGGGGATAACCTATGATCGTCTGTCACTGATTGAGAACGACCAGTTCGATAAGATCAAATCTAGACCATAGCACTAGGATAAAAACGAAGCCAGGATAGTTTGGCTAGAAGTAATGAATGAGAGACGGTCAAAGGCCTTGGAGAAGTCAAAGAGAACCGAAACGGTAACTTTTCGGTCGTCAACACCTCTCCTAATGTCATTGACAAGCCTCAACAATGCCGTCTGAGTGCTGTGGCCCTGTCTGAAACCACACTGACGAGGATCCAGCAAACCACGCTCCAGGAGAAACGACGAAAGTTGATTATATGCCAGGTTCTCGACGACCTTAGTTAGGAAGGGCAGTAAAGCAATGGGATAGTAATCAGTGAGATGTTTAGGCGCAGAGATTATGTTCACCGAGATGATGATGGCCCTCTTCCAGGCATTAAGAAAAATGCAGCTCTCAAGGGACTGGTTCACTGTAATTATTTATATCAGTGTTGAATGTCGTCGAATTTGGGGGGAAAGATAAATAGTAAAATAGAATAGAGAAAAATGATACGAGTCGAATTGTGGGTACTGGAGTGGAAGGCTAATACTCCATCCCTTTTGTGTCCTTTCCGCTATTGTCCTGAAATAGCATTCAAATGACCCGATTTCACGCTCATGACCAATTTATCATTCTACCGAGAAGCAGTAGAGGAGTATCGTTAGTGACCCATCTGCATTCGAGTGTCAACATCATTCTCAACAGAATGATTGCATTTTAAAAATAATAGTTCCAATTTCAATTCTAAAGGGACTTCCATTCAACTTCTCTATCTATCGCAATGAATTTTAAATAAATGCACGGGTAATAGTACGATAATTCAGATAAATTCTGATTCATTTCTCGCAGGACATACTTTCAGTTAGAATTTAAGGGAAAAAGGAAAATGGTTGTCGATGGGAAAAGATAAAAGTAAATGTAATAAGCTGACGAGGTAAGAAATTCACCTCGGGGTGAATTCAACTTCTCGATGGTTCGTTATATGAAATCGGGATTTTATTGCACGTTGGAGAATCCTTTACTCATCCCCAACGTATTGACTAGTTTTTGTATCGTCTGCACTTATAGGGGAGAAATCATGAAGATGGGGGATGAATGGACGTATTAAATTTCAATCAATTTCCGGGAAAGTGTTTACACGGAAGATGATATATTGATGGCTACACTGAGCGAAATGTGTAGTAAGAAAAAGAGAAATGTGTAGTAAGAAAAAGAGAAATGTGTAGTAAGAAATACTGGAAATTATGATAGGAATCGTGTGGTCAAGTTGTGGTATAGCGATTTTTTACCTGATCTGAGTAGAATTTACGTAATGTTGAGTAAAATTTATGGGGAACAGGGGAATTGTTATCATTATATTAGAGATTAAGATTAATCAAGGAATTCGAATAAATTAAGAGGTTAATTGGGTAGTGAGTGAGAATGTGTAATGATCGTTTCTTGACCATTTTCTGCTGCTGAAGTCATTCTCCGTGCATCATGAAATCGCGTTTTGTAATCAAATCAATGTTTATGAGAACGAATCGGGAAACAATAATAATTTTAATACTGGAGATAACGTACTATTGAGTTACTCATTAACTCACGAGTTGGATAAATCAACAAGAATAAATGAGATATAGGAATCAAAATTTTTGTAAATCATCTATTTTGATGAGAATTCAGTGGCTGATTTGAATTGGTCGTTTTACTAATTCCTGATCGAATTAGGACATTTCTAAGGATGGTAATTACCGGTCATTACTTCGGTAATTGATCGGTCGGGGTTTGTCACTCACATCTCTAGCAATATCGATTTATCAACTGAAACCCCTATTTATAAGTAAAGATATTTCGCCCTAGGGTGGAAGCAACTTTCCACCCTAGGACGAAAAGTATTTACTTTCCGAATTGACTATTGACCATTAATTTTTGTCCGAAACACTTGCGAATATCTAGTAATTGAAATAATTTACCTCACGGGTTAATTACGAACTACCTGTAAGTAAAAAAAATATTCCGGATTTAGATTTATGGAAAAAAAATCTATTCAAACCACTGGGAGATGTATCATTCCGGTGGAATTAATCTACCGCTCATTCATCGCGGGAAGGTCTCATTTGGATAGGGAAAAAACGGGAAAAAAAGGGAAAAAAAGGGAAAAAAAAGGAAAATAGGTGAAAAGAGAGAAAAAAGGTAGTCACCAGCAGTTGAATGGTGTTAAATCCTTGATATTCCACAGATCACTGCTCTCCTTAGTTTGAATGTGGATAGCTGCTACTAGTGTTATCAGTGGTGCACCCCATGCAAATACACTGTACTTGAGATAAGTCGGTGGGTCATCGCGACATGGCACGGATGCCACTGTAGCGTAAAGGTGATGACACATTGCTGCCAACCAACAAACTACTGAAACCCTCAAGTACTGCAGACTCAGCCCAAGGGATATACATAGCTCTGGATCCTGAAAAAAAAATATATAGAGAAAATTCAGTATGGACATTAGATTTTGCACGATAGGTTGACCGTAAAGTACGTGTTCTGGAACGTTACTTATGATCTTTCCGATCCTCGTAAATTACTGATTAAAATTACGGATTAAAAACGGACATTCAAAGTCGGAAATTATAACTTTAAAAATGTACATTACGAGACTCATAACTAAAATTATGATTTCAAATTTGTAATTTATGAGAAGCGAATTCTTGGATTGGGAGTTTGAAATTGTAATTGGTGCATTCAGATTTTGTAGGTTACTTTTAGATTTTTTGGGACTACAGTGTTGAAAGTTTTGCATGAGAATCTTCAAAAATTTTTATTGATTTTTGAAGGAACTTTCCAATTGAGTGTCTATAATGTCATGCGAAAATCCGTGGAAAAATTACCGGTTATTTATTGTCTGGCGAAAGTGGATATGAAATCAAGTAAGCTTGGGAAAATTTATCGATAAAAAATTTCTCTCAATTTTTAAAAAATGCGCTCAAAATTCCAAAGATTCTAAAAAAATTTCAAGATTTCATACACTACACTGAGAAAAAAAATTTCTTTTGCCAAGAATATATTCTTCTCACCAGTAAATCATGCAACCACTGTATAAATACTCCCATAAGATTTACTAGTGCCAAATATATTTTCTTGTGATTAGTAAATATTCTTGGCAAAAGCATTTTTTTTCTCAGTGTACGGCACATAATTACTTTTGGCAAGTAAAATTACTTGGTAGCGGTGAATTAATTTAAACAGAAGTATTTAGTCTTCTCGGCGCATTCATTTTCATTATGAAATTCCGCTGTCAGTCGCTGAATTTTAAGTAGGACTTGAATTCCCGCGGATTTTGTACCACGAATCGAGTTAAATGACGGTCTCCTTCCGAAAAATTGAGCTGACATTCTCCTGCTGGTACCAATAGATTAATTTAGCTGAAGTATTTTTCTTTCTCAGAGTATTCGTGTAAATTATGAAAGGACACGTAAATTATGAAATTTCCAGAGACTTGAAATTTCAGATTCATTTTTCCCTTTGAGCCGTAAAGAATTCTCGTCTTTGTCCAGAAAATTACGCCGATTATTTTTCAAACCCAGATTTTCAGAAATTAGAACGCAGTATTCGAAACTGTCCAACAGTTTAATTTCGGAAATTTCGAAAAAAATCGCCAATGGAAATTTTTTATGATAGCTTTTCAAATGACTCACCTTTCAGCGCATTTCAAGTTAAACATTCTATGTGATAGATAAACAAACAAGTAGATTACTGCGAACATAATTTAAAAATGAGTAATTTTGAAGGAGTCCCTCTGGGAAATGTATTTCTCCAATTTTTTAAATGAAATTTTCCTCAAAATATTTTATTTCAATCGCCAAACTCGTCTTCCAGGGCTTTCCATTCCTCTGTATGATTGTGTGAATATGCATTCGAATGTTATTTACAGCCCTTTGATTAACCAAAATCTGAGTAAACAAAATTAATTAAAATTCAAAATTAATCGGACATGTCCCTGAAGCTTCCTTGCGCCTAGTACCCAGTGAGTCAAATTTAGCAGAAAAACCCCTCGTGGTTTGCATTCGCGATTGTCGGCCTGGAAAATTTGCCACAATCGCCTCTAGGCAACGAAGCTGTTGGAAAATATCCGATAATTTTTGACACACCAGTGGTATTACTATTGAAAATTTTTGGACAGTGTACGCAATATTTCAGATTGAGATCCACTGAATGACGTAGGGTTGAATAAAGAGGGCTGAGTACAGAGGGAGAAAGTAGTAACGGTACTTTCGGTAGATTTCCCAGAGTCATGATGAGGAAAAAAGAACGTTGTCAGCAGAAAACGGAACATCGGTGTTCCAGAAGTAGAGGTAGTAGAGCTTCGGAGCAATTTTAACGCTAAAACTTAATTCGACTCTCTTAATTCGGTGGCAACTTGGTGCTTGTAAATTTTTTGTCAATTTAGAAGTTTTCAATCTTTTATGTCAGTGATTCAGAATTTTTTGAGATCGCATTGAGAATTACTTCATTTGCCTATTCAAAATGAGATTTTCTTTTTCGGATTTATAACGCCATTTGAGTTAATGGATTCACTGTGTCCCAAATGGACGAAGATCAAAAGCACTTTGGTAAATGGAAACTACCCCTTTGGGACACAAGTTTTTGGTTGCTTTTTTTTTTTTAAGTGTAACTTTTCTGTTTCCAGTGAGATGGAAATTCTAATTTTTTTTTTTTTTTTGTTAAATGCAAAAAACTCGCTACCACATGCGTTACAAGTTTTCTGAAGTACTGTACGGTCGTGTTCCATTATAAAATGTCGTGAAGCCTTTGTGTCGCACGTCCGGAGATGCAGTCAGTATACGGTAGAAAGCTTTCGTCTCACCTCCGGTGTGCGCTATTCGCATACAACCCATCAACCTCTGGTCTATTTACTGGCCATCTGTGATTTTTTTTTCTACCTCTATCCTTTGAATCTCCGTTAACAACTCGAACCACACAAGAATAACGTATTTGCTAGCATTCGTCAATCGAGGGGTTCAGTTATTTTCAAGACTAGAAAGATTTCACGAAACTAGAAAAATTTCACGCAATTCCAGTCACAATGTATGAATCTTCAATTGTGTGAAAATAAATTCAGTTTAAGGCCTACGTGGACATTTTTCCATCCATATGTCGCAATAAAACGTGATCACCATATTATTTTGACAATAAATGATAAAAAATATCACTGCACACGTTCAGTGCTGAAATTGTAGGGTATGTGGTAGAATATTGAGTAATTGTGCAATCATACTTCAGTAATTTTTACACTAAAGTCTTTTTTACGACTAACTCCAAGGCTGTTGAATTAAATACCAGATCAGGTTGAAATTAAACTTTAAATTAGGGACTCGGTACTGACGAGCTTACGAGCACGGTTTTTAGTCAAAAAATCATTGCATTCGTATTACAAAAAGATCACCCGTTGCAGTACTGAGCTGTGAAATATTTCTATCTTTAATTGGAAATCACCTATATTATTATCAGACTACCTAATTTAACGATTGTCAAAAGAAAAATAATTCATAAGAAGTTAACATGAACTTTCAATTTTTTCTTAATTTAATTTACAATCATATTCAGTGAAAATAATGAGGAATGGGGACAATTGAATTATTGTGGATTTATGGGGACACGGAATAATTCAGACAGATTAATTGATTATTTTCGAGAAAAAAAAACAATAGAATTTTGATTTTTCAATATCTTTCATGAGGTACTTTTTTTGAGATTTCCTAAATTTTATTCGTATTTTCTTTGGCATTATGAGAGTGACGCTCCAATATTAAACCGCTTTTGTCGTTGGAGACTACAGCAACCAACTAGACTGTTAGTGCATAGGAAATTAAAAGGTTAACTGAAGCGCTAGATTGTTCTTCGTGCTTGTTTTTTATGTTCTTTCATTTATGTTCACTTGGTCGTAAATTTTTCAATCGAACCAACCCTATCCCGAATGGCATCACTAATCCCCGTGTTTTCATTGATCCTCTTTTATTTTCACTGTGAAGAGTTTCACCTTGTATTATCGATTGCAAATGGAGTCCACGGCATTCTTTAACAGCGTATTATGTAATCAGTGGGGAAATCTATAGCAGTGAATCTGAGATAGTTGCTTTGAAAAGTGAGGTAGAAACTTATTTTATTGCATGGACAAAGAAGCAGGGATGTTGCTAAATCATTTATGTGATCTCGAATCAGGGACTATTTTAACATCTTTGCTTTCCACAATATCGGGGCGATAATGCGAAATGAATCTATTGTTTTTAAATCATACTTTCGTTATCTTAGCATGATTCAAATCTGCATCTACTTGATCAATGTATGCGTACACGGAGAGAAAAATACCGGAAACATTACGGAACTTTCACGTATTCGTGGGGTGACCTTGTCTTTCGGGAACAAGTACTGGAGGTACCGCAAAATTGTCCTGAAAGTTTCGTAAAAATTTCTGCTCGCTACGAAAATTTTTACAGAACTTACAGTATTTTTCTCCGATAACCAAGGTCACCCCACGAATACGTGAAATTTCCGTAATTTTTCCGGTATTTTTATTTCTGTGTAGGATTAATTTGAGTGTATAACCGATTGCGATTAGAATTTTTGAAGAATTAATGAACGTTTAGTGCCATTGATTTGCAATGTTGTGAGAAGATTGATGCAAGAATCAGAATGGTTTCTAGCGAAAACAGATTTATTGCAATTTCAATCAAGAACGTACGCTTTTAATCGAGGTTTTTTTTGTCAGTTTACGCCTGCAGCGTCCAAAAACATTTATTCGATTCGGACATTCCTAAATGTAGTACGCAGGTGTAACGTGGATTGCATTGGAAAATTTAAAAGCTCATCCACAATAATACATGTGATTTTTCGAAAAGACATTTGAGTAATAGCGTACATATCCGCCTATAAATTATTTTCTGAGAAATGAGACAAATTCCAATTTATTTGCACTATTCTATCGGAAATCCTAGTCTATTTTGCACACTATACTATCGGAATCTGGATAAATTGAATAAATCGATCGTTTCAAGACAAAATTAGTAATTTTTTATGCTTATGGATACTAAGGAAAAATTCTTGAAAAATTATTTGACAGTTTTACTTCATTTCGGCGTAATTTTTACGTGAGGTAACAGAAAAATTATGTAATAGTAACGTAAAAATTCACATGAGTTGTTTTTTCTACGAAATGACACGTCGCTACACATTTACAGAACTGTCACGTAATTTTTAATTTCCTTTTTTTTCTGTACATAGCAAACGGGTCATTTTTCTCTTTTTTTTTGAGGGTTATATGATTTCTCCAATTCATATAAATTCGGTAGAATTCAATTGAACATGTGGTAGATACTATAAATCTCACCAATATCTATCAATACCCACAAATATTCCCCTTAGAGTTATGTTATTAAATTGGGAAATCATTCAATTAATCTGAAAAATTGT